TTGTATATATATTTTTATTTTATATAGGTAACTTCAAAGAATTGATAGTATGGTTGGTATATATACAACCATACACATGAAAATATATAATATGGTTGTATATATATCATTTTATATATTTTCATGTGTATGGTTGAATATTTATTTATATTTTATATAGGTTACTTCAAAGAATTGATAGTAAGGTAACTGTTAATCTATTTCATTTTATATATTTTCATGTGTATGGTTGTATATTTATATTTTATATAGGTTACTTTAAAGAATTGATAGTGAGGTTAGTTAATCAATTTCATTTTATATATTTCCGTGTGTATGGTTGTATATATATTTATATTTTATATAGGTTACTTCAAAGAATTGATAGTAAGGTTGGTTGATCTATTTCATTGAATATATATTTTCATGTGTATTTTTGTATATATTATATCATTTTATATATTTTCATGTGTATGGTTGTATATTTATTTATATTTTATATAGGTTACTTCAAAGAATTGATAGTGAGGTAATGGTTAATCTATTTCATTTTATATATTTTCATGTGTATGGTTGTATATTTATTTATATTTTGTATAGGTTACTTCAAAGAATTGATCGGTGGCCGAGTGATCTAAGTAGTTACTACTGTAATCACTAGCCAGTCAACACTGAGGTTGTGAGTTTGAACCCCGCTTGTGCGGGTGCACTCGACTCCAATCTTAATTGACTAGGATTGTCAGTTTTCCTATCGAAGGTCGGTGGTTTTCTCTGGGCACTCCGGCTTCCTCCAGCAATAAAAACTGGCCGCCACGAAATAGCCCAAAAGCGGTGCTTAAAAGTGGCGTTAAAACACCAAAAATCAAATCAAATCAAAGAATTGATAGTGAGGTTGGTTAATCTATTTCATTTCATATATTTTTATGTGTATTTTTGTATATATATCATTTTATATATTTTCATGTGTATGGTTGTATATTTATTTATATTTTATATAGGTTACTTCAAAGAATTGATAGTGAGGGTGGTTAATCTATTTCATTTTATATATTTTCATGTGTATGGTTGTTTATTTATTTATATTTTGTATAGGTTACTTCAAAGAAGTGAAAATAAGGTTGATTGATCTATTTCATTTTATATATTTTCATGTGTATGGTTGTATATATATTTTTATTTTATATAGGTTACTTCAAAGAATTGATAGTAAGGTTGGTATATATACAACCATACACATGAAAATATATAAAATGGTTGTTTATATATCATTTTATATATTTCATTTTAATGGTTGTATATTTATTTATATTTTGTATAGGTTACTTCAAAGAATTGATAGTTAGATTGGTTGATCTATTTCATTGTATATATATTTTCATGTGTATTTTTGTATATATATATATATCATTTTATATATTTTCATGTGTATGGTTGTATATTTATTTATATTTTCTATAGGTTACCTGAAAGAATTGATAGTGAGGTTGGTTAATCTATTTCATTTTATATATTTTCATGTGTATGGTTGTATATTTATTTATATTTTGCATAGGTTACTTCAAAGAAGTGAAAATAAGGTTGGTTGATCTTTTTCATTTTATATATTTTCATGTGTATGGTTGTATAATTATTTATATTTTGTATAGGTTACTTCAAAGAATTGATAGTAATGTTGGTTGATCTATTTCATTTTATATATTTTTATGTTTATGGTTGTATATATATTTATATTTTATATAGGTTACTTCAAAGAATTGATAGTGAGGTTTGTTAATCTATTTCATTTTATATATTTTTCATGTGTATGGTTGTATATTTATTTATATTTTCTATAGGTTACTTCAAAGAAGTGAAAATAAGGTTGGATGATCTATTTCATTTTATATATTTTCATGTGTATGGTTGTATATATATTTTTATTTTATATAGGTTACTTCAAAGAATTGATAGTAAGGTTGGTATATATACAACCATACACATGAAAATATATAAAATGGTTGTTTATATATCATTTTATATTTTTTCATGTGTATGGTTGTATATTTATTTATATTTTGTATAGGTTACTTCAAAGAATTGATAGTGAGGTTGGTTAATCTATTTCATTTTATATATTTTTATGTGTATTTTTGTATATATATCATTTCATATATTTTCATGTGTATGGTTGTATATATATTTATATTTTATATATGTTACTTCAAAGAATTGATAGTGAGGGTGTTTAATCTATTTCATTGTATATATATTTTCATGTGTATTTTTGTAAATATATCATTTTATATATTTTCATGTGTATGGTTGTATATTTATTTATATTTTATATAGGTTACTTCAAAGAATTGATAGTGAGGTTGGTTGATCTATTTCATTGTATATATATTTTCATGTGTATTTTTGTATATATATCATTTTATATATTGTCATGTGTATGGTTGTATATATATTTATATATTATATAGGTTACTTCAAAGAATTGATAGTAATGTTGGTTGATCTTTTTCATTGTATATATATTTTCATGTGTATTTTTGTATATATATCATTTGATATATTTTCATGTGTATGGTTGTATATATATTTATATTTTATATAGGTTACTTCAAAGAATTGATAGTGAGGTTGGTTAATCTATTTCATTTTATATATTTTCATGTGTATGGTTGTATATTTATTTATATTTTGCATAGGTTACTTCAAAGAAGTGAAAATAAGGTTGGTTGATCTTTTTCATTTTATATATTTTCATGTGTATGGTTGTATAATTATTTATATTTTGTATAGGTTACTTCAAAGAATTGATAGTAATGTTGGTTGATCTATTTCATTTTATATATTTTTATGTTTATGGTTGTATATATATTTATATTTTATATAGGTTACTTCAAAGAATTGATAGTGAGGTTGGTTAATCTATTTCATTTTATATATTTTTATGTTTATGGTTGTATATATATTTATATTTTATATAGGTTACTTCAAAGAATTGATAGTGAGGTTGGTTAATCTATTTCATTATATATATATATATATTCATGTGTCTGGTTGTATACATATCATTTTATAAATTTTCATGTGTATGGTTGTATATTTATTTATATTTTATAAAGGTTACCTCAAAGAATTGATAGTGAGGTTGGTTGATCTATTTCATTTTATATATTTTCATGTGTATAGTTGTATATATATTTATATTTCATTTCAGAGTTCACTCACAGATGTTTAATTTATATTTTTTTTGCAAATGCAACCTAGAGAGAATTTTTCAGTCGCTGACCTTGAATATGGCTCCATCATGTAGCAGACCAGGAAGAGTGGCATATAGATTTCCGTAACACTCTACGATAGTAACAAGATTAATCTACTCTCAGCTTGTTAAAGGGCCTTTTTGATGGAAGGGACACCAATTTTTTCCAACACACTACTAATTCATAAATTATATTTTTGTTACAGATGAATCTTAATCTACTGTAAGCTTTTAAGAGATCCTACGGTGATGGAAGACGAAAACATACAATGTTATTATAATAAAAGTCAATAATATACAGATACATCAATCTGAGGCCAGAATATCGATCCCCTACCCATATTCATCTCCATTTATTTAAGCCTTACCAAGCTAATCAAGAGTTGTGTCCCTTGGTCTGTCAAACTTTTGGTTTTAGTTTGAGTTGAACTACGGGTATCCTGAAATATTTCTATGGTCCGACTGACTTCGAGATAACGAGAGTCGACTATACATCTGCTACTTCAAAATTGTTTCTCTAATCTTAATTGACTATGAATGTCAGTTTTCCTACTGAAGGTCGGTGGTATTCTCCAGGGACTCCGGCTTCCTCCACCAATAAAAACTGACTGCCATGAAATAGCACAATAGTGTTGAAATTGGTGTTAAACACCAATCCTGATATTGTACAGTAGTTATCTCCCTTTACATCAAATATCTCAGCCTTTGGTTCATTTTCAACTCTCACCTCCAGCATTAGCCTTTCGTTCAGAATAATATATTTACTTAATTACTTGAACTACTGTTTTCACCTATTTTTCATACAAGCCTATAGATATTTATTTTGTCAAAGACTTAAAATTTATGATTCACCTGAATCACAAAAAATGAGTAACTTAGGAATATTAATTAATCACAGTATTCTATTTTTGTTTCCAACATCTCCATCATAGAGATAGAAATGTTGTAGTTTAGTTTAAATAAATATTTTCTTTACACTTTTGTAAACTAGTATAGAGTAGTAAGGGAGATAACTTGCTTCAAATTTTGATTTTATTATCAAATTCAAGTTTCTAAAGTAACCGTTTTTTTTTTTTATTATTATTGGAACATAATGACAACATGTATTAATTTGACTTGTTATAATATCCTTTTTAACAATTGCTCATCATGATTTATAGACAAGTTTTGGGTTTGTAAAGTTTGGGCTTTTCTTTTTAAGAATTTCCTGTTTGATTAAATATTACTTTTTTTGGAGCAGCTTCATGGAAGATGGTTAAAGAAATCTTCAACCAAGAGGCTTTACCTAGATAATAAGAAGGCAAGTTTTTTAAGCCAAACAATTTCTATACATTTTCTAGAAATATTTGATAAAAAGTGCAAATAAGGAACAAGAAACACAACTTTATTTTCTGCATGCAAAACACTGAGAACTGTTTAATATTTAAAGATACATTTACCAGGTATATTAACAACATTTTCTTTTAAAATAGAAATAGTAAATCCTGAGATTGGAATAAAACTTCCAAGGGGAGAGAAATTCAATTAACATCAAGATTTATTAATTCAATGGGAGATAACCCTGTAAAATATTCAGATTTGTTTGCAGTTGAAATTCAAATGATTATTCTTTGACTTCTTTTTTGTTTTCCATCTATATTAATTTTACAAACTTAGTTGTTGATGTTATACTATTGTGAACATGTAGTAAGAAATCAAAACAATATTTAGTAAATGTTTATGTTGACAGAAATGGATTTATAAAATATATAATGTATCCATTTTAATTCTTTTTAGGTTCTTTCTGTGACATGTTTTCATGGTGTTGGGAATAAGACTTGGGATCTAATACAGCTAATATGAAGGTAAGTACCAGTATGTTATTCCAGTTTTGAAGAAAAAAAACCAAATGTATTGTAAAATTTCTTGGGTATCTGGCTCTAGGCTTATAAGAGGTGGTCAGAAGTCTACTCTCTCATTTATCGGTACCATTATATAAGTAAATTTAAGGATCTGATGTAATTACATAAAAATTTGCTGGGTTGCTGGATAGCTGTTTAATCCACATGTTCTCAACATCTATTACACATTTGTAGACTATTTCTATTAAATATATATAAAGTATACCAACATTATGATCAGTTTAAACATTTTTTAATGACTAATAATTTTATATTTCAGGTTAGCATCACAGTTTGTCTGTAAGGATTGAGGCGCCAGGGAATGGCCATTGGAGCTGACTTTTATGGTAAGAATCAGTGCACAAATTAATGAACTCTTTATGTAATAGCATGTCAATTAATGAACACTTTATGTAATAGCATGTCAATTAATGAACTCTTTATGTAATAGCATGTCAATGTAGATTTTTCATGTAAGTGTATCACTGTTTTTTAGTTATCTAAATTTGTCCCACTATATAAGAATTAAGAGATGTGATATGATTGCCAATGAGACATTTATCAACTAGAGACTAAATGACAAGGATGTTTACAACTAAAGATCACTTTACAGCCTTCAACAATGAGCAAAATATATACTGTATGGTTAAATGTTATTCGCATCATAACTGTAACGCCCAGTTAATTATTCTTTTGCATTAAATAATTTGCTTCAATTATTTTCATATAGTTTTGACAGATACGTTTAAAAATGTATATTTCTTTTTCAGGTAACTTTAACTGTGGCTGCACAAAATGATTGGGTGATATAACTGTAGCAGTAAAGAATGTAATTCAGACAATTTTGTGTGTGTTTGAGAAAATGTTTATAATTGTTTACAAACAAACAAAAAATAGTGTAAAGATTCTCCATTTTCAACAAGATTGGAAGTTATAATTTGAATTTTAAAAATCTCTTTGTACCATTTAAACCAAAGGATATATTCAGGTAGCTCTACTTATGTCCATTATTGTTTTGACAATTTTTTTGTTATGCATATGGATACTGAACTGGTTTTTGGCATGTAGTTTTGTTTTGAGTTCATAGTTCAGATTGTATTCATTATTTTTTCCCCTGTGACTAGATTTGATTGGTACTTTGAAAATGAATTGAAATGGACCAATTTTATTTGAAGACCTACTCCTTTAGATATATTAATAATGGTCTGTATAGTCAAAACACTTCCAGAAGTTAAGAATGGAGAATCTAAAAAAAAAAAGAATTAAAAGAAAAAAATGTTTTTTTTAATGAAATGTATTTATTGGGTTTCACCATTGTTAAACATATATCTTTTCCAACATTTTGTTTTTTATGCCCCTGCCGTAGGCAATGGAGGCATGAAGTTTTACCCTTGATGTGCTGTTGTCCATCTTTCTGTCCTTCCGTCTGTCTGTCCCATTTTTGTTTCAGCACTCTAACTTAAGGTTTGCTTAGTGCAAATTTTATGAAACTCGTACACAATGCTAAGAATCAAAACTTGCAGACAGAGTTCAAATTTGGGCAGCTAGTCATTTATTGTTCAAGAAACATAGCCACTATGGCTAAAATGGAACATAGGGGTAAAATGCATTTTTTTGCTTTTGAAGAAAATATGACAGATACAAAGAACATTTAAATGGCATTTTTAAGCCACTCATTAATATATATTGAAAAGCAAAAATAATCATTGATGAAAGATTTAAGCAAAAAATTACAGGTGAGCGATTCAGGCTCTCGAGAGTGTCTTTTTTTATTTCAATTATAATATTTTTTTTTTTATTTTTGTTAAATATAGAAGGAATGTGGAGTTCTAACAGGCTGAAATTTAGGGAAAAGGGAGGTAATGACCCTGTTAAACTCCTCCTCCTCTTAATTTCCTCAGTGATAGGGAATATAACTTATTATTTACTCAGTATTTTTTTAAGATATCAGATGTGTACTAGCTAAAAGGCTATTATTTAGAGCTTTTTAAATAAAATATGTAAGCAGAGGTTTAGAGAATAGATATGCAGGATGGGAGAAATCATTGGTCAATACAAATGATTGGGTAAAATTTTCAATGTCACCATCAAGAGAAATTAAAAATAGAGTGAAAGTAGGTATAAAAGTAAACTCGATCAAGAATGTTGAATAAAATTGCAAATTCAGACGACACTTGACTTGCAATTCCTACCATTTCATCACTGGAAGTTGTACATCTGTCTTGAGCGAAGCCAATTGGAGGCAGTACCTCTTAGTGAAGCTAATTGGAAGCAGTACCCTCTGTCCTTGCGAAGCCAAATGGAAGCAGTATCTCTGTTGAGTGAAGCCTATTGGAAGCAGTACCTCTGGCTGAGTGAAGCCAATTAGAAGAAGTACCTCTGAGTGAAGCCAATTGGAAGCAGTACCTCGGGCCTAGCGAAGCTGATTAGAAGCAGTACCTCTAGCTGAGTGAAGCCAATTGAAAGCAGTTCCTTCGAAAAATTAATTTAACACTAATAAACAAATTTTATTTTTAACATTCATTTAAATTACTTTTATACTTACTTTCATTTTCTATTTATTATTACTCCCCCTGTTGATAATATGATGTGCAAATTATCACTTCAAGATTTATTACCGGGGTACTCTTCTGTAGTTTATATCCTGATGAAGGTACTCTAGGAACTGAAGCATGCCTATCTCATTAAATTACTATAGCAATCCCAAGTATTGTTATAAAGACTATTAAATTACAATTATTATAAAAGAATCTTTCAAAGACCATTCAAATAAAAATAATTTTAGTTTATGCGGTATATTTGTGGCGATAATTTAATTTACTGTGCAATTTTCACATAATGTAACTTTAAATGTAAAATACAATGAAGTACTTTTTTTGGATTCATTGTTAAAAGTTGGGCTAGAATCATTCGTTCTTGGGTTTATAAATTCATAAGTAAAGACTGCAGTCATATCAGTTTGTTAAACATAATCATGATATCCTTGAAATAAAAGTACTTACGGCACCAAATAGATTTTACTAGAAACGTGTGATGAATAAAGGCAACAGTGGTAGTAAAATGAAATAGTTTTAAACAAAAATCAAAAATAAGGGTTTCCGTTTTTATTTAAACAGGAGTGAGTTATATGACAGTTGTTTTCCATTTGTTTGATGTATTTGAGCTTTTGATTTTGCCATTTGATGAAGGACTTTCCGTTTTGAATATTCCATGGAGTTTTGTATTTTTGTTAAATTTCACTTTTAATAAACAATTCCATTGACAAACCTCACATGCTTTGCAAATGTCAACAATTTTTGTAAATTTGTGATATAGCGAGAAAAAAAATTACAAAATTTTGAGTAACTTTTTCATATATTTTGATAGCGTTCACTTTCTACCCAACATTCGTAGTGTCAATTTTCTTTTTACATGTTTAAAATACATGTAATATGTTTTGCTTTAATTTATTTTTTTGCATATGATCAATTGTTTTTTTTTTGAATAATTATTCATTATACTGTCTTTTTAAATAATTCCTGAGACGGTCTTTAGAGCATTGGTCTTTGGACACAGGTTTCCAACTTTTTCCCGCTACACAGTTTTTAAAGAAGTTTGACAGAGGTCACTGGTTTTAGTTGGTTGTTCCTGGCCGGTGGGATTGTCGATGATAGATTTTTTTGTCATTATTTAGTATTTAACAGCATACATTAGCATTTCATCAATTATAATTTTTATGATTTCCTTTTATGTATATATGCTTTAATGATTTGTATTAATGTATATTGTTTTGATAATCATTAAAAACAGACTAGCTGTCTGGGTTATCAGCAATATGAATATATTGTTTGTTTTGTTTAAGCCTAAATATTTAAGGGATAGAAGTTATAGTAATACTATATATATATATATATATATACGAATAGACTTGTAAATAAAATTTATTTGACAAAACCAGAGGCAGAATAAGGGGGCTCAGGGTACCTGGGTCCCTCTCTTATGGAATACATTTATGGTTCAGACTTTTTACCTTTTCCACTCCAAACATTGCGTTGTTTAAAGCCCCCCCCCCCCCCTTTTTTCAAAATCCTGGATCCGCATCCGAAAACCTTAGTTGTAACGCATTATACCCATGCCAAAAAGAGGGGTATATAGTACGTGATGTACATGTCCATCCATCCTTTTGTCCATGCGTAGCAAGTTTGGTTTCACTGAGGGTTTTCCAGATAATAAGTAAAGCTTGACAAAATCTTTTGAAGTATTTTAAAAGGCAATGTCATGGGCCATAAAATACAGGTCAAGTTCAACTTTGAAGGTTTTGAAATTTACCATTCAAGAGGAATGTGCCCTTAGTTAACTTAAAAGTTTGGTTTTCTTCGGTTTCAAGTAATGAATATTCTGCTTGAACAAAACCTTTTGAAAAGAAAATTTCATGCACCATAAAATACAGGTCAAGTTAGATTACGATTTTTTTTCACATTTACTGTTCCAAGAGTTACCTTTGAAAATGGTATTTCTTTGATTACTGGATGATAATTATAGTACCACTTGACCCAATCCTTTGAAATCAAACACAATATCATGAATCATCGAATACAGTTCAAGGTCCATTTTGATGGTATTTACATCATACATTCAAGAGTTATGCCCTTAGTTACCTTAAACATTTAACTTATGAAGTTTTCTTGTTTCCAGATGATAATGAATGAAAGTACTGTTTGACAAAAGATTTTTCTGATTTTAACACTGTCTTATGAAACATAAAATACTAGTCAAATTCAATTAGAGTTTTGGTATTTTATTTACTGTTTTTTCTTCCAGCAGGTGTATCTGATCACTTATTGGATCACTTAAATCTAGTTTGAATCTGGATGGCAATTGCAGGTCACAGGAAAGAGGTATCTGAAGGGTTGTGTTTCACAGGATTTTATTTCAATCACTCAGTTAAGTTTAGTTTATGATTATTTTATTCCAGATCAATTAGACAAACAGGATTAGCTTCAACTTATGAACTGGTACAATTTTTTACTGCGATTCAAGTTGATTTTTCAAAGATGCACACTCCATACATATGGTTTAAAATCAGTTGTTTAGGTCCTTCGTGGTCTTATATGCACCATTAAGCTACATTGTGCTCCTGCACTGTACGCAATTGAGATCCTTTGCTGTGTTTTTAGAGGTCAGTTTGTATATGTTGGGCAACATGTTAATTTGAAATAGCATTTGAAGGTACATTATTGCACATCTGTTCAACAAAAAAAAAAACATTGACTTTTCCATACAAAAAATTTCTGCTGAAAAGTAGCTTTGCCATCACTTGGCACCCTTTGCAGTAAACTTTAAAAAAAAAATCCTGTAAAACTACAAGGCCAAATTTACAAGAATTTTCCATTTATGAATTAAAAAATTATTAAGAAACTTAAGGTTTCAACTCCTTCAGGCAAAGTTGATCCTAGAATGATTTGTCTATTATTTTTAGGTCCTTTTTGGTGATCTAGCTCTTCAACTGATTCAATTCTTATTCATCCTTGCCTTTTAAATATTTAACTTTGAGTGTTCTTGAAGAAGGTAAATCCAGAAAAGGGCTTCGGAAACATGAAATTTATAGTGTTGTTTTCATATACTGTTTGAATACTATAATAGATGGAGAGAAACAGTAAACATATCCAGAACAATTAGTTCTATAAATAAGTAAACATGGAGGAAATCATCAAGTTGCCCCTTATAAGAGTTGTTGCCCTTGTAGATGATTTTAACCCTTTTTTTGCAGAAACCTCAATAGAGAGAAACTGAATGAGAAAAAATGTTCCACAAAATAAGGGGTTATGGTTTATTTCAAAAATAAATATTCTGATTCCCAATTTGATAAAAAAAATATTCTGGTCAAGCAGAT